CATGGCTAAGTGGAGGAAGGATCAAATACGATTAGATGAGAGGAGATGTACGGGTCGGGAGGGGTGGATTCATGAATTCTCAAGACAGCCACTGGTGGTTGATGTGTTTGGAAAAGTTTGGGTTATTGAGGTTGGACAAAAAGTGAGGGGGGGGGGGGGGGAAATAATATATGGCCATGGGAATTTGATGATATCTCAAGGCGTGGTTTTTGCAAATCGGCCTTCACCTCCTCTCCAAGCCCCCCCCTCCACCCCATCCCCCAAAAAGCACCACCTCTGCCGAAAAATATGAGGGGCGCATGCGTTGTAGAGTTTTTGTGGTATTTGTTTGACAAAACTTCAGTAAGGCTTAATTAGTCTTTGTACGAATAATGCAATCAATTTGATCAATGATAGAATTTCGACAAGAGATTTCAAGCGCTGGTGCATCTTTAAGGTATCGACTATTTTAAAATTATGTTTTAAAATTATTTTTTCCGGCTCCACAAAGTGGGGTTGGTGCCTGCAACATTATTAAACTGTGGTAGTTCAGAAGTTCTCAAAACTTTGTATGAAAGTGACCAATTGTCAAAACTAATCGTTTGGTTACCAGAAATTTGATCGAAAGAAATTTCGTAGACGGAAAATTGATCGACGGAAATTTGATCGATTTTTTTTTTTAATTCACACGTTAAAATTTTCGTCAAATTTCTTTTTGAACGCACTTTACTATATACTATATACTTTACTATATACTTTACTATATACTTTACTATATACTTTACTATATACTATATACTTTACTATATACTATATACTTTACTATATACTTTACTATATACTATATAGTAAAAAAAAAATAATGCGTTCGAAAAGAAATTTGTCGCAAAATTTTAACGTGTCAACTGAAAAAAGATCCGATCAAATTTCCGTCGGATCAATTTTCCGTCGACGAAATTTCTTTCGATTAAATTTCCGGTTAAGATTTTCAAAACTAATCGTTTGGATGAGGTTACGGGTAGACATCTAATCGGTTAAAAAAAAAAAGGGGGTCTTCAGAACAGTGGCGTAGCTAGGGTTGGTGTCACCCGGTGCGGTAAACTCATGGTGTCAACCCCCCCCCCCAACTTATATGATCGATTTTTTCTTGTTAAAATAAGTCCACAGTATAGCATCAACCTTGAACTTTTAATAAAGCACGCATTTGGATTGGTTACATTTGTGAAAAATATATGTGTGATCGGTTATTCTTTTATGAATCTCGATTTTTGCGAGCAATGTGTGCCCTGTAAATATGCAATTTTTCAATCGGGTGTCACCCCTAAAATGGTGTCACCCGGTGCGGTCCGCACCTGCCTCGCTACGCCACTGGCCAAAAGACTACAACCGTACACTGAAGAAAAAAATAGGTGATTACCAATGTGGATTCAGGCACACAAAAATCAACGACTGGTCAGATTTTCATCATCAGATGCCTTTTTAAGAAATGTTATGAATATAATATCACAGTATATCAACTCTATGTAGAATATAAAATGGCCTATGACAGCATCAAAAGAAAATATCTGTATGAGCCTCTGCAGGAGTTTGGCATACCCAACAAACTGACAAGACTGATGCATGTAACACTGAACAAAGCAAAATCAAGGTTCAAGGAGAATATTCAAGGGAATAGTATAGGCCAAAACGTGCCAAAATGTCCACGTTTTATAGCCATTTTAATTGTTTCTATAGTATAGTAGTTACTATCCTAGTGTCTCATTTTTATTTTACTTAGTTTACATGTTTTTAATAATTGTAAAGCGCTTAGAGCTTTAAGGTAAGCGCTATATAAAAATGCCTAAATAAATAAATTTCAGATTAGACGAGGTCTAAGACAAGGAGACTCACTGTCTTTTATGCTATTTAACCTAACTTTTTTTTTTTGCTGGCATCCGTCCGTCACAATGTGACGATGGTGTTGACTTCGCAGGACGAAATCCACAAGGCCTAGGATTATTCTTCAAGGATTATAAGCTGGTTCCCAACAGCAAATCGCCTCTCTCCACGCCGCTGGACAACCCAAGGGAACATCTTGTGGATGATACAGCTTGGCACCGGTGGCATCGCAGGAGTTGTCGGAGTGTTTCATTGTACCAGTGTTATCCGCCTTCGGGGCTCCGACTCCAGGTTTTTTAATTCAGAGTTTCCTTCTCTTAGATGAGTTGCCATCCAAGGCTAACGAGTCCCATCCACCCGGGGTGCTGGTGATGTTTTTTGCTTGACTGGGCTTTTGGCTGGAATTGAACTCCAGACCAAAAACCTAACATTAGAGAGCGTTGTAAGAAGCATACTTATTGACACCCGAGGAACAATAACAGGTTACTTTCTGAGTGAAACTCAAGACCCATAACCAATGGGCACTCTCTGCAATCAACCCTTTTAGCATCTTGCATATGCTGATGACATAGACCTGCTAGGGGAAAGTATTAATGACACATCAAAATCCGTTATTGAATTAGAAGACGCATCACTACAAGCAGGGCTGGATTAAACAACAACAAAAAAATGCATGACTATGATAAGAGATGAACATTCAGATGAAGCCATTAAAATTAAAAACCACATGTTTGAAAAAGTAAATCAATTCAAATACCTAGGATCCTTGTTAAATGAAAGAAACGATTTACTAACAGAAATAAAAGAAAGAATTATCAGCCGGAAGCAGGGCATACTTCAGTAGTCAGAAAATACTCAAAAGTAAAATCATTGCAAGAGAAACAAAGAAAACTATTTATAAAACTGTAATCAGACCAGTTGTAACATATGCAAGTGAAACTTGGACCCAAACAAAAACGGCAGAAAATCTTTTAAACACATGGGAGAGAGAAGTTCTCAGGAAAGGATGAATATGGATGGAGAATACGAACCAACAATGAATTGTAAAGTCTAGATCAGGATCCAACGATGATCAATGATAGCAGAAATAACAAGCGCAGGCAAAGCTGGGCAGGACACTTAGAGAAAATGTCATATGGCAGAGGAGTGAAGAAGGTGCATCACCAAAACCCCAGAGGAAAACGGCTCAAAGGTAGACCCCAAGAAAGAAATACCGTACAAATATCTCTGAAACAGGCTATATATACGCCAAGAGATATTGAGCGACAGGAAGGAAGAGAGAGATATTTTTGCTATCCCTATTACGAGAGAGATTTGCTATACGAGACAGAGATTTGTTTACTAATATTTGCTGCATGTGTGTGGATTCCGTTTTCAACATTTTACCTCTTTACAACATTGTATCTGCTTCAAAATTGTATCGGTACAAGCCAATCATTATACTGTAGTCAATAGCTTTAATTTAATTTTTGATTTTTGTAAAGTATTATTAACTCAATAAAATTATTAAGTGTAATCAGCCCAAGTTTGTGGTAGCGTTTTCTTTATTCTTTTATATCATTTATGGTATCGTCTTGTGTGCGCTGTTTTAGAACGAGCCATAGGGCGATATACAAGAGATTCATTTCTCATACTGCCTAACAATAGTAGGCCTATGTAACAGTGATAATATGACAGATTTCGGCGCCGAAATCGAAATTCGGTAGCTCTCTAATTCCAATATGACCAGAAACGTTGTGATATTTGATTTTAAAGACACTATCTTCAGAACGACACACTATCTACAGAACGACACACTACCAACAAACCCACACACTGCCTTTAATTACTTAAGAATGGTAACTCTGGAATCCAATGGAATTAGTTTTTTTTAGCCGTCCTCTACTAAGCCAGTGTTTCCCAACCTTTTTGATTCGGGGGAGCCATTTTTAGAACCAATTTCTATGGAGAAACCCCATTAGGCCTATCACAAACGTTTTACAGGTTAAAGGTTTTATGTTATATTATTCCAGGAGTCTCCGGGGAGCCCCAGAGACGTGAACACGGAGCCCTAAGCACACGTTGGTAACCACTACTTTAAGGTATTGTGTTTTTGTTCTTTTCAAGTTTAACAGAGCTCATCTAAAATCATTCATTTGAAGACTCGCATTAACATTTTAAAAAATCTGTTTGACAGGCATTTTATTGATAAAACCCACAGAATGTATCTCTTCAACAGAATGTATCTCTTCAACAGAATGTATCTCTTCAACAGAATGTATCTCTTCAACAGAATGTATCTCTGCAACAGAATGTATCTCTTCAACAGAATGTATCTCTTCAACAGAATGTATCTCTTCATGAACAAACAAACCCGAAGAGGCTTTTCTTTTACTTTTGGCTTAAAAAAAAAAAATGTGAATTAAAGAAGTACTGAAACAAACTTGGAAGAATCAGATATTGCAAGCAACTAAATGCTATTGTATTATTTTGTAAGCTGTTTAAAAAGACTATGAAAACTCAAGAATTAAAAGTAAAACAAAGTGAGAAAATAATTACATCATATAAAATCATTTGCGTAAAAAAAAAAAACCTTAAGGGAATTTCAACATAAAACTTCTTAAATTAGATGGAATTTAATGGAATGGATTTTTCTGAAGTCAATAGATGTGTTGAGTCAATAGAAATAACAGCATAGGTAACAAATTTCCTCAATCTAAACATTCAGGCTTATTAAATAAAAACATTATAATTATTGTATACCAAACATCCCAAAATAGATGACATGATGAGGAGGGAGTGTGTGTTTAATTTCAGGTAATGGGAGTGTTCATTTAAATACATAAGCTCAAGCGCTACCACACATATTACTCCTACAACAACAAAAAACCCTACAAAATTGCACCATGCTTTTAAAATTATCCCACTGTTTAAAAATGTAAACATTTAACATTTTCATATTCATTTTCAATGCAGACAACAGAAGAAAAAATGGAACAGCATTCCCATGGGGGGAGGGGGGGGGGGGAATATCCTAAAACTTAGTGTCCCAACCTCATTCCTTGAAGGGCTTAAACCTAAATATGTCACAGATACAATATAGTTTTTAGCATAAACCTTGTGAGAAGATTGGTAAACCCTAACCCTTTTGGGGGGAGGGGGGGGGGGGAATATCCTAAAACTTAGTGTCCCAACCTCATTCCTTGAAGGGCTTAAACCTAAATATGTCACAGATACAATATAGTTATTAGCATAAACCTTGTGAGAAGATTGGTAAACCCTAACCCTTTACTTATATACACATTAGATACCGGGGAGGTTGGAACTAAAACAAATTTGCTTCCTGTACCAACCCAGTAATTATTTGTTTTTTCCTGGTTATCATTCATTTTAGTTTATAAAAGATTGTTTTTAAATTATAAGTATAATCTTTTGAAAGAAAACTAAAAATTAGAATGAATATTCAGTTGTTTATTTAAAAATATAAATGGGGGATGAGTTTAGCCTATTAGGGTAAGCGAATCATTTCTTGTTTTTTTAAATGGCAGGAAAAATAAATCGGTAAGGTAATTGTCAGCCGATTTATATCTATAAACTAGAAGATATGACCAGTTGTTACCATAGGCCATATGTTAAATATCGAAGGCATATTTTTTATACTTTCTACTTCTACCTGCTACTGCTATTGTGCAGTTTAAAAATCTACTAATTTTTACAAATGTAACTGTTGCAGGATCCTCAAAAAACAAATCGTGAAAATTTTCCACACTTTTGAAATGTATATTTAGGAAATAGTAAATCAGACTTTTCCTTTCTTTAAAGAAGAGTCCATGTATAGATATTTAAATTTCTAGCATCATTTGGTTTTGAGAAATCTTTATCCTCTATATAATAAGGCTCACCCAACATTTTTTTTATGTTACTGAACTGGACTATAAAAAAAATTATTATTTAAATTTACTTACATATTAAAAATACTTTCATAAAAGCATATATTATTTTATCATATATAAATTGATTTGTTTCCGTATAATAATACAAAAGCACTATCATTGTTTTTAAGAATCAGAGCGCATTTGAATTGATTTTGATGTCCGTAAAATATACGAAATCGCTATCAATATTTTTAAGAATCTAAGTGTAACGCATCTACACTGGCTCATTCTTGGTATATAGAAGGATACATTACCTGTATGTATCTATACATATAAAAATACAAACTATTTAAAAAGTACCAGTACCATACAAGTTAAATCCAGAGTAGTAAAATGTTAGTGAATCATTGGGTATCCCCATTAAAGTCTTAAAAGAGTTTTAGTTTTCTAAATGTTAAAATATTATGCTCAGCTGCAATGTCAGATGATTATGTAGCAGCCTTATCAAGACAATCTTTTAGGAATTATTCTCACACAACAAAAACACACAGAAATACTTGTAAAAAAAGCATGTTGACATTGGCAGCATAAATGAGTCACAATTCTCCAGCATAAATGAGTCACAATTCTCCAGCATAAATGAGTCACAATTCTCCGGATGTACTCTTGTTTCAATATATTTTAGAAGAAGGCATGCTAAGTAAATAACAGTAATCTTTAATAGAAACTACAAGAAATTATAGACAAAAATATCAACAAGCTGTTGCAATAATATATCAAGAGGAAACTCACCTTCAGAAACACACTACTGTAATGAGTTTCACAGGCTTCAAATAACATTTCTATCTCTATCATTCATAACAGCAGTTGATAAAACTTTAATTCTTTCAGTCGCAACAGATTGTCCCTAGTGACTGGCTGTAGCACACCCGTACACTTATTATAATGGGGAAAAGTGTTTATGAAGATTCCTGGCAACCGGGTGGGTTATACCCATAGTGTTATATATCACAGTTCACCAACATCATCTGTCAGCTACATGATGGCCCGATTGTAGGACAACGGTCAGTCATCTAAAGCATTCCCTGTCACAAACAGTGTGAAGCAGGGCTGTGTCCTGGCTCCCACACTCTTCAGTATTATGTATTCTGCAATGCTGTCTGATGCGATCAAGGACTCCACCACAGGCTTGCCAATCCGGTTTTAGGAGGCTTCAAGCTAAACCTAAAACCAAGATCAAGCACAACACCATCAATGAGCTTCTGTTTGCGGACGATTGTGCCCTCAACGCTGCCTCAGAAGCCGCGATGCAACACAGCGTTAATGTCTTCTCTGAGGCCTGCAACAACTTGGGCCTCATAATCAACACAAAGAAGACTCAGATGATGTATCAGCCAGCTCCCAGCAAGCCCAACATCATCAGCGGACAACGTCTTAACGCGGTGGATAAATTTACTTACTTGGGCAGCACCCTCTCCAGATCTGTCGTCATGGATGATGAAATGAATGCCAGACTCGCAAAAGATAGTGCCATATTTGGCAGGCTCCACAGCACTGTTTGGGACAGGAGAGGCATCAGACGAGGAACGAAGATCAAGGTCTATAGCGCAGCAGTCCTCTCGACATTGCTCTACTGATATGAAATGTGGACTGTCCACCAGAGTCACGCCAAGAAACTGAACAATTTTCACACAACCTGGCTCAGGAAAATCCTCGGCATCAGGTGGCAAGACAAAGTTCCTGACACAGAGTTCCTCGCTGATGCAGTCTCAACTCTGTTTGATGGGACATGTAGCCCGTATGGAAGACCACTGTCTCCCAAAACAGATATTCTTCGGAGAACTCACGATGGGCAAGCCTCCCAAGGGGGTGAAAAAAAGCGTTACAAAGACTCACTGAAAGCTGCACTAAAGGCCTTCATCATCAACCCTACTAAATGGGTGCAGACAGCCCAGGACAGAACCAGGTGGAGAGCAGCTGTCAAGAAGGGGGCTAAATCCCATGAAGCCAGTAGGATAACCACAGCTGAGTCACGTACGATAGCCCGAAAGAGCAATATTTGATCACCGACTGCAGCAACTATCCCCTACCTGCAGTGCCAGAGATTATTCCTAGCACTGATCGGACTAGCAAGCCACCTATGAGCTCACCCTCCCCCCTAATCGGATGACTCGATGGTCCTGGTCGATTTCGGCGGACGAACAACAGAACATATATATTATATCACAGTAAATGGCTCTCTTTATGTTATTTTCTTTTTACAATGTGGCTTGATTGAGGCACCTACACATTTGTGTCTATTGCCTCCTGTATTCCATCCCCCAGTTCGTAACACCACTGCTGAGTAGCCCTTGCAACCAGTGAAGTATTCCCTTGAAACCCATGCACAGTTACATCGCAAACCCCTCTACCCAAAACACGGACTCAAATAATAAACAACAACCAAAAAAAAATGTTAACAATCCAGTTTAAATGGTAAAAAAAATAAGATTAGACCCCAAAAAATAAGTCACTTCCGCATGCTTTATACAATTACATCCACCAAGGTGTTCATTCCAACTACCTTGTGGATTAAGTAGAGTACGAGAAAGATTATTAAAAGGTGACTCAAGATGTCACATTCTGGTCTTCAGATATGCACCCAGTTGCAACGGAAAGAGTTAAAGTCAACAGAACAGAGTTGCCCTAAAAGAAAGATAATTATGGTTGGACCTGGGGCAGGATCTCAGACAATATAAATTTCAAGAAAGGAAATCATTGGATACATTGAATACCAGGTATAGTTTATGATCATTTTGTTTATATTTGTATACATAAGCACTTTAATACTGAAAATTTAAAATTTTGCATTTGGCCCCATTACAATAAAATTAAAACAAAAGTTCTATGGCATGATATATTACGTAAATAGAGTGTTAATCCATAGGTTAATGTTAAAATATTGCAGACATTCTTTCAAACATTTCAAGTCGAGCAGGCAATTTAAAAATCTTTTCAACACTTTCAAACTTGAACAGTATTTGTACAGAATTAGTAGGATTTGAAAATATGTCATAGCAATAAATAGGGAAAAAAAGCAGAGTTTTATCTTTTGAACACAGATCTACATCATGCCTCCATGTCAGTAAATTATGCATGAATAAAAACATGTATCAATTATAATTATATTAAAACTTGTATTTTGAAAGGCGTTGTTAGAATTTATAAATATAATATTAATGTTAATAATCGGTAAATAAAGTTATATTTGATATCTTATTTTTTTTTATTTCAATGTTTTTAGTAGTAATGCGGCACGACCAAACTGATAGACACAAGAGTCTATAAGACATGTTTTTAAACATTTCTTCTTATTAACAGTTTTTAATTTTATTAGTTTTTTCAGTTTGTTTTTGTTATCTGGTCCCATTATTTAAATTAACAAATAAATATCCTAAACAATAAAACATCCATTTTCATGTTTTGCATATTTTTTTTTCAACAGAAATGTCACAAGAAAAACTAGCATAATTTTAACTAAATAAAGTAGCAAGAGAATATCACAGAATAACTTTAGTTATACAGTTTAGCAGTAAAAGAAATTAACTTCCATTTTAAAAAAACAAACATTAATCAAACAAGCCCAACATGCAGACAACACCCTCAAGGCATATTTCCAAACAAATTTAAAACATGTTGGTCAACAAAAATATGTTGATTTCATCAGTACTTGGTAAAATACATTCCTAAAAATATTATTATTTTATTCTTGGACCTGCAACTTGGCTACACAAACCTTTATATAATTAGACAGAATTTATTTGTTAATAAATGAGAATTTACATTTAAATCTATGGTAATGATTTTTTAAAAAAAATCTGTTGGGTTCTTCTCAATAGCTTCTACCAACCAGCATTCATCTGCCATATTTGCCCCAAACTTTGCATGGGCTGATCTAAAGCATCTTTTGTGAGCTCAAAGGAATCAGATTTAATGCAAGCTTGTTTTTGTATTACAAGGGATCAAGGTTTTTCGTTAAAGGATTGAAATGATTCTTATTTTTTTTAAAGTAATTTTGAAAATATAATCATACAAGATATTTCCACTAGTCAGCAAGCTGCATTCTAATCTATAATGACATAAATCTCCCAAAAATCTTTTCTTTGCAGATATAATTTAAAAAATGGCTCCTCACTCAGAAAAGGTTGCTGAACACCGCAGCAGATTAGATTAATTAAAAACAACTAAAAAAAACTGTGCATTGGTTTGCAATGCTTTTCAGCCAGAGATAAGAAGCCCCACTCTGTCAGTGCCACAGGTGGACATAAACAAAAGGAGTCAATAATATTGAAAGGGTTTAATCCCATCAGCAGCATTTTTTTTTCCTGGAGTGTTCCCCACTATCCTCCATTAAATCTATAACACTTTTTCTGTCTGTAGTGTTGTACCTTTTCTGTTGGTCTGCACTGAGGGGAAGGCAATGCTGGAAGATGTACTCGAAAACCTCCTTGACATTTTGGTTGTTGAGGCTAGATGTTTCAAAGTAAGGCTCATGTGGCAATTTTTTAAGATCAAGATGCTCATTGAGTTCCCTGGCTAATTTTTTCCCCTCTTCCGCTGTGATATCACGCTCTGACTGGTTCAGAAGATCTAGTTTAGTGCCAACAACAACTTTAAGACAGTCTTCATTAGCTGCCTCTAATATGCTTCCGAATCGAGCCCTAAGGAAAAATGCATTGAAAATATATATACATGACATATTTATTTTACAAAGATTATCAAATTTTAAGTCATAAGTTTTAGCTTTGTGTTGCTAAAAAAATTAATTAAGAATCTTAATGGTTATGAAAAAAGCATCAGTGTAAGATAAAAAAGCAAGAATACAAGAATGCAAGAAATGTAAATAATGTATCCCTATAAATATGGTGTCACATGATAGTAAGGTTGTCAAAAAAAAAAAGTGGGGGACTCACAGATTTACAGGGGGTGATAAGGGAATTACTCATGACAAGAAGAAAGAAAACGTCACATTTTTCACTGCTTACTTTGTATAACAGTATAAAAATGGTTTCATTACTACTTACGCTGAATGGAAGGTGAATAGGATCATGAAATATTTCATTAAAAAAAGCAGAAAAAAAAAATTAAGGATGTTGATTTTTTAAATTTTTATATGTAAAACTAAACTTAAAAAAAACAACAAAAAAAAAACATTGCCTAAGCGGTAAATAATAACCTAGTAAGAGAAAGCCCCATTTAATTTTTGGATTATATTCTTTAAAACAGTGCATAACAGAAGATACATCCAGTCATCAGCTCAGTGTCAACATTGAGGACGTTAAATAAAGTTTTGAAACAGCCACTCTATCAGAAGAGATCTTTTGTCCCAGCCCCAAGATGGTTAATATAGAGTTGCTACCCAGTAACCAATAAGAAAAAAACATTCGAGCAGCATAATTAGTTCAAATTTACCATAATGATTCAAATGTCTTGGGGGAATTTAAGTCAAATGCCAGGATAGCTGCACCAGCACTACGACAGTAGAAATGTGAAAGCCCTGAGTATCTTTCATCCCCTGCAGTATCCTTTGCAAAGAAATTGATATGAGAAAAAACAAGTTCATAAACCAACAGCAAAGACAATTTAATTTTTTTCAAATAAAGTTTATTAAACAGATTGAGGGGGGGGGGGGGGTTGGGAAAAATGGAAATAAATTTACTAAAAAAAAAATTAAAAGCTGCTTTCTATTTCTATTACCAGGTAGTGACGATATCTCTATATATAATACGCCAGAAAAACTAGGGCATGAAGACGACGACACAGGCTATATATAGATATAGCCAGAGCAAGCAAGATGCAGGCAAACCCTCCCTTCCCTTGCCTGCCCATCGTTGGTCTCAAGACATGCGCACTGCTGTGGAGTTGCCACCCCTCACCCCCCTCCTGCACCACCCTCGCTTGCCAGCCATGCGCACACCCCCACAAGCTCTGAGCCAGCTAGCAATTCTGCGACGTTTGCAACGCAGCGGGTTGTCTAGTCTAGTACAACTAACATCAGTCAATTGTCACTTAAATGTGAAACAATGCTCCATTAAAATGTAAGATTATGAATACCGGTACAAGAAAATGTAAGAAAACCTTACATTTTCTATTTTATTGGAGAGTGACCAACAAAATTTCAGAAATGAATTTTTAAAAATAATTTTAGTTTTTCCTAGACTTACCCAAACTGCAACATTATATGGTCCCCACTGCTTTAAAAAAAATGCAGCACCTACGGTCTGAAAGACAGATAGTATAAAGATAAAGTTACATACTTTGATATTTTACAAACCCCAAAACAATCAATCAAATCTGCTTACTAAATTAAAAAAAAACAATTTATGAAAATGAACATTACTGAATACTAAACAAAGGAAAAATACAACTTTAGATAATTATAGTTATAATTCTTGGTAACATCTTACTGGTTCTTGAGTCTGGAACTTGCCATCAATGTATCGACAAATTAACGATGTTTTACCCACATCATAATCACCCAATATGATGACCTTGAGATCACTTCAGAAATAAATAAAGAATTGGATTAAATTTAATAGATGGTAAACATGTCTTCTAATAAATTGATTTCTCCTTTTGACAACAGAGAAATGTCAGGGCATGCATTGCAAGGGCAATTGACAATTTTTTTTTTTACTATGTATGTAAAATAATGGTATAGTCTAAATGCTTCAGGTAATAAACTTCTGTATACTGGTACATAGTATTATTAGGTAATGTATTAAAATAAGAAAAATGTGAAAATAGTTTTAAATCCATGGTCTTCTGAACAGACATTCAACTTACACTTACAGTTACAGTAACCTTTTTTTAAATGTTTCAATGTGGAAAAAAAGAATATATTACTGATGTCTAGAAATACATGGACTTTAAGTTCAGTGGGGTTAGGCCTTGACTAATTATCAGACTAACTGAAAGTATGGTTCAAGCTAATTGAAACTTGATTGTTAATTATAAAACCATGCCGAATTGCGTTCTGTGCTAATTGAACTATCACTATTACTTATATAGAATCCTGTAGATGTTTATTTAGGTGTTCTACTTCCTCAAATATTAATTACAAGAGAAATGTATCCTTGAATTCTTCACAATATTGTAACATACAGTTTTAACAACCGTTGCTGACAAACAGGGTTACTTATTTTGCAGACTCCCCCCTCCCACACAGGGTATACTTACTCCAATGCCAAGATTGCCAATGGGCTAGTAGCATCAAATTAACTATCTAATATGTTGTAGGAGGAGGGGGGGTCACATAATTTGTGACGTGGGGGACAATTTAATCAATGAGATGTCACATGAAAAGCTGTAATTAAAACAATCTACACGAATTTACAACAATTTTTACACTAATTTATTTATACTAAAAACAATGTTTAATAATCAGATTTTCCTTCTATAGGTTTGTGAATTTGGATTGTTCACTGATGGCATATGATTCAATGTTTTCATGTTTAAACTACAATTACCGTCATTATTATTGAGCAAATCAAGACTTTGGGGAAATGTAATTTGCAAAAAGTGTTCAAACCCTTGTCACATTGGCCAGGGATTATCAAGTAACACAGCAACATGGAGAATGAAAGTCACAGGTGCAGTGACATTGACAGTCTATAAATTATGTTGAAAATATACATGATGGGTGTCTGGGAATTAGGGCTACATTCATGAAGTAGAATGGAACAAAAAAATTGTTGATTGGAGAAAATCCTCTTAATATTAGTTAAAGCTCTTGAGGAATGTTTCAGACACATTCAGTAATTTCATGTGTCATTAGTATTAGTATAGGAATCTTTTAGTGTTTGTACACAAAAAGGTTACAATCAAGACAGTAGTGGACAAAGTGAATTTCTCCAGGACTGTTGATTTTTACAGGATATGGAAGCGCAATTAAATTTACAATCTTTAAACCGTCCTATCATTATTTTGCCAATTATTAAATTTTGTTGCTTAGAAGTAGAAGACAATCGGAGCAGAAAATATTTGTTAATAAAACTGAAATTGGATCAGGTAATCAGATTGCACAGCAACATTAATTCATACTACAGCAACAATAAAAGTGACTTGAAACTTTTTCATTTTGATAGGGAGAGGGGGATTAGGGCAGATGTTTCTGACAATATTTGTCTAACTTTTTATGAAGATGGGGAGAGGGGTTAAAAACAAACACAAAATAAACATATTTATTATTTGAAGTTGATCATCAGTGAGTAAAAGAAGTGAAATTTTACCCAACTGATAGCAATGAGTCCGCAATCATCACACTGTCAATAGTATCATGCATATAATATATAAAGTGGATGTGATTATGAATGCAGGTGTTAGACAAGGATCCTTGCTAATATATGATACGCAAGTTTTGATATGTTCACATTATAACTAATAATCATCACTATTGATGTGATAAATATTTCAAACCGGTACTTAATTTAGGTAATCTGGTGAAATTTTCAAAATATTTCTAAAAATATTTAATACAATATGGTTGAATAGAGCCAACTGAATCATTTACAAAGAAAAAAAACCAAGATCAACCTTCTAGCTCAAGTGGTTCAATAATTATGAATTTTTTAGTGCAGACCTCAAGGCAATTTTTTTACCATTGAGTTTTCCTCCACATTTTGTCACCCATTTATCAGCTCTTCACTTTCACCCATGTTTCTTGGATATTTCTCACTATAAAAAATGACTTATTTACAGGATTTGTTTAAGATATTACATAAAATAGGATAAAATGGTGTTACTGTACATATTACATGTTAAAAATACAAAGTTTAAATTTGGTGTGGCGTTGCAACTTAGTATTAATCACATTCTGACCCGGGTCCCATTAGACTCTCACTTATGGTACCCGGGTGCAAATAGCCACTTTGAATCTTAATAGGCCTAAGTCAGAAAGTCTAAGACAAGGTGTAATCAATCCTATGTCCATGGCAACCAACCCCAAAATTAAAACAACTGATATTTAAAAGTCAATAATAATTATTAAGATTATAAAACTTTTTTTATTTATTTAAATGATTTATTATAAGTTATAAGTTACATTTTCCCATTTATATTATGTATAACCAATTTAATTAATTATTAACTATCCCACAGCTGCCATCAATAATAGGCAATATGCCAACAAGCATGGTCACCATGATTACAAATTAGATACCGGTAGCCTAAAGCCTAAAATAGTGACCTTTTTGCTTTTGATCCCTTTATTTACTGACTACTCTCATGAATGTTGGATATTATAGATTTAAGAACATTTTTTTAAAAAGTTATTGATTAGTAAATGTTCCCTGGTAACCTATTTTTAACTTGCCACAAAAACCAAATTCAATTTCTCAATATAATTTCTCAATTGAACAATCAAGATGTCGGCTTTGACTAATGCGCCGATATAGAAATTTATTATTATGCCAATAATCGATTATAAAAGGGGAAACAATGATAATAATAATAATAAAGTTTATTTAAAAATCAAACTTCATCCCCAAAGGCTCGAAGCGTGGTACATAGTCTAGTACATTAAAAGATCCTGAATGAAACTGCAAAGCAATTAAAATTAATTAAAAGTTCGAATTTACTTGCGCCGAAGCCAATTTCCAATAATCATTTTTAACTATCTCCCTTGCTTTACTGATGTGCCTTCACACTGAGATTCCTTCCTTTTGTGTATTATTATACCGCCATCTTGTTGTAGCCGGAAGTTAACTCGTTAACCTTGGTCGGCAACTCATCTAAGAGAAGGAAACTCTGAATTCAAACCCGGAGTTGGAGTCCCGTAAGGCGCATACAATGACAATTCCTGCAACCGTACCCATCCCTGGTCGTCTTGACGTAGAGTCTTGCCCCTGGATATGGTGGGCCCGGACAAGAGAGTGAGGTTGACGCCGCGCAACTCTTCCTCACTTTAAACAAAAGTCACTAGCACAAGTCATCAGTCACCGGACGACTCGAAGGGTGTTCCAAATTGTTGGGCCAGCAAATGGGAAGGTATGCCCCTCGTAAGTCTCAAGGCGAACACGTGGTATCGAGAGTTTGCCACGATCAGATGAGCGGAGTTGTCTAGTGGGTACATAAGGCGTCAGCAGCTCTTTGAGATAGGATGGTGCCAGGTCATGCAAGCAGCGGTAGCAGAGAGTTGCAATTTTGTACTTAATGCGAGCGTGGACCGGCAGCCAATGCAACTCTCTCAGAGGTGTTTTAGCATGGTCAAAAATTGCATTTGCGAAGGATGATGCAAGCCGCATTATTCTGTGCTTTTGGAATTTTATCTAGGAGCGTAGCTGGAAGATCCACCATAAGAGCATTGCAGTAGTCCATGCGTGAAAGCATGAATGCAGACATCAGCTTCTTTGATGCATCTAACGTTAAGAAAGGTCTGATATGACTAATTCTGCGCAGCTCTAGAAAAATCGCCTTGCAAAGCATGTTAATGTAATTTTACATAGTTAGTGTTCTGTCTAAATAGACATCCAGGTTTCGCACTGTTTTAGCAAACTCAATCTGTATACCGAGAGAGCAAGGGTTTGTGTGTTATTTATATATTTTAGCTTTTGAGCGGTAGCAATGGGGACCAGCTCGGTCTTTATATAAAACTCATTGAGAGCGTCAGGCAGCTCGCCCACGGCAATGTTATTTGGCAAAGATGTATTCCTCTGTTTACCGGTCAGCTGACCCACAATACGAAACAATGCCCTACCAGAGCAACACTCTACAATATGGTAACTGACATATTCAGTCCTAGGTGCAAGGACCAACTTCTTAATTCCTTCCTTGTGATCAATAAAGATTTGTCGGTGCATGGTCAGGCCAGACTTCCGCCATTTGCGTTCTGCACGTCGCTGCTTCTGCTTCGCGTCCTTTATTTTGGGCGTGAGCCATGGAGCAGAAGGGCGGTCCATAACTCGCTGTGTGGACAGTGGTGCATGTTTGTCTAAAATGACTCTGAGGCCACTGTTGTAGTCTGTAGCAGGGTTATCTTCACTGCATCCAAGGGCTGCGACGTCAAATCTGAAGGCCACTAGATCTATCTTTGGAAGTCAAGGGATGTGGCTGTGCACAGAAGGCATCCTGGCTTCCTCAAGTCAAGGGTGACTGGGAAGTGATCAAAAATAAGTTTGTCCTCAATAATGAGGTTGCGGATCATAGCTGCACGGTCCTCTCTGACAACCAGCCAATCTAGGATGTGACCCCAGCTTCTGCGTCGGGACACTGACAAGCTGAGTCATTCCGTGTGTGTCGAGAGCTGATTTTAGGGTCTTCTCGTAGTTGGTGGTGGTGGAGTCAAAATGGCAGTTTATGTCGGCGATATGATAACGTTGTTGGTGGTGGCGTACATGTCAGGGAGTTGTAAAAACTCCACAGCAAACTGACAGATCTTCAAATTATTTTGCCAATTTGGAGGTGGCCTGTATATGCACAGAAATGTCATGGCCTGTTCACCATAATAAAGTTGCATCTTGCACATCTCAAATGAAACAAACTCGTCTGATTTTGAGAAGCCCACACTATTCTTGAGGGAGCTCCTGTAAAGGACAGCAACACCCCCACCACTGCGCGACTGTGGTGGGAAAGAGTGAAGGACGTAGTCCGGAGTTGTAATTTCTTGCAGCTTGACCTCATCTCCGACATGTTAAAACCACGTCTCAGTAATGAACACAAGGTCGGCCTTGCTCTCCAAACCAAGATCACACACCTCAATTGTCTTATTCCTGCATGACTGGGAGTTGAAATAAAGCACTCTGAAATGAAGTGATTGCGGCTTCACAAAAGCCTGACAGTCAACAACAACTAAATTTGATCTCGTCACGCCCCGTTGAGGCGGTGTGAAATCATGAGCCACCGGCCGTGTTCCTAGGATTGACATCTAGGGAATGGTCGCGATGGATGACACAGTATGTGGCTGATCTCCGTCGTTATTGTTCCCCATGGTGGTATTTCAGTGGACGCCGTTTCCGACGACCTGTTCGATAAAGATGCTTCTTCTTTCGTTGAACGCCAACTTTCCGTTAACCACAACGATGGCTACGCTTATGGGGCAGGTCTCGACCAATGGAGAGTTCTTTCAGTCGATACACCAAATTAGCAGTCAAGGGTATACGTTTGACATTCATTGACAATAGTCGATCGCATGAGTAAATCAGCCGGGGTGTATCGCCCAGCGTATCATTAGACGCATGAGCAATGATTGTGATAACAGCTAAGATGGCCGACAACGCAAGGAAAACAGGAAACACATATAAAATTACAATATGATCAAGAGCTTGATCCTATACATTCGATAAAGGTACCACACTATCAAGATGATAAGGCGTAGTCTCAAGACAACTCTGACTTCCCCGAAATTGAATTTATTTAATTATGATAATAATTTCTCAACACCTTCCTGTTTTTTGTACAATTTCGGTAAACAAAACTTTGAAAGGCCTTGCCACCAGTAAATTAAATAGTGGAGGTCGCCCTTTTGACAAAGAAATGTCTACTTTGTTATGCACCAAGTGTATGCCGCTGCTTAATACTTAATGCCTTAAATTTTGACTTTAATTTGTATTTTTGTGGGGAAGATTAAGTTTTATTGAGGATATTGGTTAATCTATTATCTATGAAATGAAAACTTGGGTTGTTGTTCGTCCGTCGAAGTCGACTAGGACCATTGGGTCACCTAAAGGTTAGGGGGATGTTGGTGGATGACTGATGACTTGCACGGGTGACTTTGTTTAAAGTGAGAAAGAGTTGTGCGGTGTCAACCTCACTCTCTCGTCCGGACCCACCGTGTCCAGTGGCAAGACTAAGTTAAGACGACCGGAAATGGGTACGGATGCAGTGGATGACCAAGATGTTCTATGTGCCTCATCTTGCTCTGCGTACTCCACGGTGTGTTGCTGTAATCGCCTTCACCTCCGTTGAACCTAAATGGTTTCCTCCGTCAACGTCCAGGCTTTGCATGCAGTAGGTAGGCAGACCTAAATCACAGAGGGTTTGAGGACCATCAGCTACCCACACCTGGTTTACCCGGCTAATAGAAGCTGTTGCCCAGGATATGGCCACTGTTGCAATCTAACAGCTGCGTGGATGAACAGGTGACATTTGAGTGACAGGAGAGGATCGAGGCAGACAAACCGCTCCTAAGAGTACATCGATTTCCCCCATCAGGGTTGCTACCTCTTCCTGTACTCACCCTTATAAAAGGAAAAATATGTATCTGCAAACAATAATGCTGACCAGAGTTTTTAAAAAAGGGGGTAATAAGGGGAGAGACTGCAATCAGGTTAGTACAAAATAAAATGAGTAAAACAGAGTAGGGTTAAACCTGAAAAAATAAACGCAACAAAACAGCGAACGTGTCGGCAGAAAGCCTTCGTCAGCGAACAAAACAACAGAAAAAACGGTATAAAAATAAAAATAAGAAAGAGCACTTAGCTGGTAAGTAGTATCTGTGGGCAGCAATAGAAGTGTGGCAGAAGGAAAATGATTGAGAGTTTAAATATGCAGCGGCGAAAAAAGGGGGGGAGAAAAATGTTCACTGTGATAGGTCAGAACGTGGAGGGGCGGAGCTAGGGTCAAGCTGTGAACAGAGACATAACATTAATCCCATCTGGCGTCAAAGTGCCGTAAGTCAGGATAAGTCTGTGTTCCAAATTGACCCGGCTGGCGGTGTTAGTGCTAGCCACAATCGCACTTATTGAAAAGTCCGCCTTGCCCCGGTGGTCGCTACTATTGAAGTGTTTGGAGACGGGACACTGTTTATCTTGTGTAATGTTTCGGAGGTGTTCGGTACACCTGTCCGAGAGACGGCGTCCAGTCTCCCCTATGTATGTCATCTGACAGCGGGTGCAGACAATGGCGTAGATAACGTTGCGGCTTGTACAGAGGAAACCGTCGCGTATCTGAAAACTGCCCTTGCTCCCCCCTCCCACTTTGGGACCAAGCCGTGTGGACGCAGTCGTTGCAACACGTGCCCTTTTGTCGTCCAGATTAAACGCATACGTTTCCCCAAGGGCAGTTTTCAGATACGCAACGGTTTCCTCTGTACAAGCCGCAACGTTATGTGGCGACCCCCAAACACGCAATTATTTTCGTTGCGGCTTCGTAACTTTTGAGCGTGTGTGTTTTCCTATGGTCTTAGGCGACCCCTGGAAAATGGTCATTCGACCACCAAAGGGGTCGCGATCCACAGGTTGAGAACCGCTGCCTTAAGGCATAATCATCTTCTTAGTCTTAGACTAAGAAATTTAGACTTTGACTTATAATTTATCAGATACAAGCAATAATACTAATAATAGCAGTAATACTATTACTATTATTCAAAATTAATTAAAATTAATTCAATTAAGATTTTACGTCTTACGTTAAACACATTAAGAGTTCTAGTTCTAAACAACCCATCATGCTGCTAATTACGCATAATACTTTTTTTGAAATTGCCAAACTAGCGGTAATAAACCTTATTTTGCTAAATTCCCAGCCGACTGCGTATAACCCTGAGAGTTATACGCAGTCGGCTGGGAATAACTTTCAGGGTTATGCGCAGTCAATTGCGTATAACTCTCAGGGTTATGCGCAGCCGACTGCGTATAACGCTTCCCATTGATAGTAATATTCCTCACTGTGCCGTATACAAGATCTGAGTGTTCCATTTCCTGAAGTCAACTACACAAGAAACTGAAACTCGAAAACCTGCAATCAACTACTTAGTCTACTTGTCATTTTTTTTTAATGTGGTTCACTTTCACTGTTTCAAGTTTGTGATTTGAAATTAAATTAATTAAACACAAAGACAATAAATGGCAAAACTTACGCCTTTTTCTTTCCTGACATTATAAATTATGTGGCATACACTCCAAAACTCATGATTTAATCAGAATGTATTACTTCAAACAGAGAAAACTCTTAATGTCATTTTCTAAATTAAATTTTGCATTGAATCGGGACCTGCCCCCTTGTAAACGGAATCATGAAATGCGGAAATAATGGTTACACTACTCACCAGGAGCTGCATCGAGTACCAAAATAATCCACTTAATTGTCTTTTTTTTTTTTAATAGGGGGAAAAAGTGTGTGTCTGTGTGTGTGGGGGGGGGGCGTTGATTTCAATTAAATAACAATGAATATCATTATTTTTAAAAAATAAAACATAAAACTAATGTATTAACACGTGGCTTTGAATGCATACAATATTTTAACGAAGTGATTATTCACAGAGCTGTGCGGATAATAACGCTCGCCGTTATTCACAGATTTCGGTCTGCCGATAACGCTCGACATTATTCGCAGAATGTGATAAATTAAATTATGAATATAAAATACAAAGTTCACAAGTATACAGCTCCTCGGTAGTGTAGTGGTCAGTATCGTCACCCGGCAGACAGAGTCTCGTCGGGGAAGCCTCATTTTTTATAAATAAAATAAAAAAAATAAAAATTTAATGTTTATTTCGTAGTGTTATATTAAATAATATTCTTCATATGGCTTTCTTATTCTGTTCACATAGTTGTATTATTATTTTCATATAGTTTTGTTACTTATGTTACAAGTTTCAAGTTAGAATGTTCACTCAAGTTTCGTCAAAAAACTGTAAACAACATGGACATGCAGATGAGCCGCATAAACCATGTTTAAGTCAGATACAGCTGTTCTAACTGTACATTGTGATATACTTTTAGCTCTTTTGACTGTTTAATTTTCTTTGTATAATTCCACTCATAGACTTTGACATCCATTTGCTTTTACTCTAATAAACACATACTTATTAATAACTTACTTATTAAAATATTTTAGATCTCCGAGTTGTGTATTAATGTTTAGCTGAAAAAATATGTCACGTTTTATTTGTTTCATTTTATTTTTTAATAAGTATCATAATAAGTAGGGACACAATATGCCGCTCCGGAAATTGTTGAAATAACATTTAGTGATGACAATGAAATGAACATACCGGTACCGTACTTAAATCATATCAATATCATTGACATCAACAATTTTAGCTCTTGTAAAAAAATGTTGATAAATGAAAAAAAAAAGCCATACTGCCACTGTTGTAACTATGGGTCTAAATACAAAAAAAGCATACACAAATTAATTGGAACCCTGCTGGTCGTAGGATGCATTGCGAGTCTTTGGGAAGTAAAGTTCCCTTGGGGCAATTGAAGCAGCGTTTACAAGTGTGAGTGTATAGCCAGCGCAATAACCAGCCACCTTTACTTTTCCCCAGCTAAGGCCAGAGCTGGGTAGACTTAGGGACACCCTCAAGGGTGAGGAAAAAATACTAGCCTTAAATTAAACAGGATTAGATTCTGTTATTATTGATATAGGGCCTATATGCCCCTCCCCGTCTCTCACATGGCCGCCTGATGCAGCCACCTCTCTGCATCATAACACTGTTGCACGGCATGTCAACTATTTCTGACAGAACATTTCTGGACTACGTGATATATCATAGTGTTTAAAAAATACTAAACGATATCCTATCAAGCTTTGACATCATTTAAAGACATCTCTACAATGGGTGAAAGTGAGTCTACATGAAGAATACCGGTACCATTTTTATTACTGGTATAACATTTAATATGAAATACCAGAAAATTAGCTATGTCTAGGAGTAGGAGGTTTGACTGGATCTATTAGTAACATTCTATAGGTCGAATATGTTGGCCCCTAACAGAGCAGATGTAGGCACAATTAATTGTCCTATATCCAATATATAGGCTATAGTTAGGCCTATTAAATTTTTTAAATTTAACTTGTGCATACCGGTAGCTTCGGTTTTGAGATGTGTTTGTGCCATACTCATTAACGATCGATCTCTCCTACACTACTTAAAACTACACCCCCACCCCGGCTTCGAATGTGATCTTAATTATTTCTAGAAATGTGCGTCATTATGGGAACATTTCTGTCTAACAATAACGCTCTGCATTATTCGCAGATCTTGGTCTGCCGATAACGCTCACAGCCTTCAAAACTGCTCTCCATACACATCTTTTTAAACTCTACTAATCTACTATCCTGACTGATTCCCACCTCTGACCGAAAAACGATGCTGCTGGGTGTCATCCATGGCTTGTAAATAGTTTTAAATATACATTGGTTTTGTTTTATTTAATTAATGTATGTTAATTAACTTTTTAAAGTTCTTGATTATGTTTGTTAAATCGTATGTAGGCCTACAGCGTGGTGAGCCCAGCCCTAGGCTGGGTACCAGGCTATATAAAACCACTTATAATAATAATGATAAAAATGTCTTCTTAAGAGATATAAACACGTTAACAAGTAGTGTACCTATTGTTAAACTTAAATCAAAATACAAAATAACAATTTAACACGTTTCGGGCTCTTACTTGCTTTAAACTGGAAGGATCATAAGTAGGAGAAAGAGAATGCTGTACAATTAGCCAGCGCCATAACATCGACTCACTTCTCAGTTACATAGAAAATGTCATGAAGATGCTTTCAAATTGGAAAGCTTCAGTTGTGTCAATTTTTTAATTATTTTTTTAAAAACTCTTGCCGTAAAAATAATGCTCATTGCCAACTCTGCTTGTCTCCCAGATTTGAAAGACAACAACAAAGAACCCCACTCTCGCCAACTAAAACTAAATGAGAGGCCTCGGGTTTTTAGCCAAGGCCTAGGCCTAGTGACTTGGAATGGAGATGGGAAACGAACCGAACTCGAATCTTGCTTACGACAGAACCGAACCGAACCCAAAGTCTGCTGACGATCGAAACCGAAATTCAAAGTCACGAACCAACAAAGAACGAATATATTGCAAACTTATTACAAGCGACAATGTGTAAGATTGTGGCACACCACTAATAACGACAGAAATGTGTAAGATTGTGGCACACCACTAATAACGACATAAATGTGTAAGATTGTGGCACACCACTAATAACGACAGAAATGCTTAATTATATTTTAGTTAAAACTAGAAAGCCCAGTTGCAATAAGCTTCAAATTGATTTGTATTAATGCTTGAAAAATTAAACAACTCATTTTGGCCGACACTTTTTCATCCAGTGTCAGCAACTTTTATCGTTAAAAAACAAACATAATTGGGAAGATTGATAAGCCATTTCGTATCATCCTTTCAATAACTATAAAACATACAAATAAAACCCAATACAATTTTATGTTTCCATATTTTTCATTAGTCTATATTTTAGCGCCCCAGGCCCAGAGTCGCCCAGACCTTTCCTTATAGTTGTACTAGAAATAACCCGGAAAACAATGGCGAAATAATTCGATTTTGTAAAAAAAAAAATATATAGGCCTATATTTAAAAAAAAAAAAAGAATCCCATTAAAATAAAATAGGAATTTTATCATGTGAGCCTAATGAAAACAAATGTGCACGATGTCATGAGCGGTTATCGGCAATTTTATTTTGCGCACCTATTGAACAAAGCGTTACTTTACCTAAAAACATATCTAGAGAATTAATTTTTTTAAAAACAATAGTCTACTTAATAGCTAAGAAAATGTATTTTTCTCTTTTGAATGCATTTTTAGATCTATTTTGAAAACGTTCGTGTTTATACAAATGTAATATAGCTTCTATTTTATTTAAATTAAAACCAAATTAAAATTGCGATATTTATTGAAAGCTGGGCATGCGGAGCACTTCTTAGCATGTAGCAGAGCCGCCACGTGGGCGCCGTGGGCAACTCCTGTGGCTGCAGGGCCCAAAATTTGTATTGTGAAAGAATTTAAACTATTAGACTTACATACAAAGGGCAAAAAAACCCAAAAGTGGCCCCGAGGCCTCGAAAAGTCATGCAACGGTTTTCTTCAGGACATTTCCATTCGATCCCCCAGCATATTTTCCTTCCTAGTCTCTTTCATAGAGACACAGTAGAGCTTACGTTTTAGATTTCCACCTCATTGTGCCTCATCACAATGATGCAGTTGCCCCATCCCCAGGTGCAAGGACGAAGAAAAGCTGGTATATTTCCCAGCATCGTCTTTGGTTCGTTCCTACTAGACTCCATTTATTACGAACTAAACTATCAATCTTAGACTTACACTAGGCCTACTATTACTTATGTCACATGCTTGTTTCATAGTCATTGAAGCCCACACACAAGCGTATGTATCAGTCAGGGTTCTATGATGATACCACTGTCCTAAGCCTAATAGTTTATAATTATCTTTTAAAAGAATTTCTTAAGGGAACAATAATGTACCAGACCACGACATAATCATATAGCCGTTTAATGTTTAAGTTTAGCATCCTATCTGCGCCTGCCTTTCACCATTCGGGCAACTTTCGGCTTCGCTTTTCACTTCTTTTGCATAGTTAAATATTACTAAATTAGCCTTTACTATAAACAAGTTACTTGTTAAATGTAATTTTTCTTTTATAGTTTAGGCTTATAAAGATAGGAAAAGTGTGGGGAAACCGTTAGATAGATAATTGTTTTGTGTCTAGCCGTTTACAATTTATATTTTGATGTTGTTTATGTCAATTACTTCCGGTACTATTTATCATCAAAGAAAAATTTATGCAGATTCCTTATCCAATGAATTACACATGAATTAGGCATTAGGACATTTTTTATGTTGAAGTGACTTCGGAATGAAAGGACGTTTGACTTGATGTATTTTTAAAACGAAAGAATCTAAGGTAGACCGAATCTAATCTTACTCAACTCTTTTTGTTGTTACAGAGAAATTGCAACAACTGGCATCAGGGACGGTCCCGTAGGCAAGTCAAGAAGAGTTTAGTTTACTTTACTACACTTATTCTTATACTACACTTCTTACTTCTTACACTTACTGACTGTTATTAACTGAACTCTACTAGTACTAGTAGTATTTACTCTAGGATAAGGAAAAAAAAAATGTTGGTGGTCGTTTTGGTAGTGGCATGGGGAATGGGTGAACGTGAAGAAATTATGATGATTTTTGATTTTGGACTCTGTCAAATTCATGGCAATTAATTAATATAATAATTATGATATTATTTAGGCTAGATAATAATAATAAATAATATCTAAGTCTAAGTTAGATATGCATGTAATTGAAATAGATGATGACTGATACTGATGATAATGACAGAAGGGTGCAATTTTATTTTAGGCAGTGTCTACACGTCCGGCGCGCCGGACGTCTATCTCCCGCACTATGTGTCCGGCGACCAAGTCACATGACCGCCGTAACAAAGTCGCGAGAGATATCGTGTCGGTCAGCCTTGTCACGTGACTGCGAATAATTCAAAACTATTGTTAATTTTAAAATCTATTTCTCTACCAAGTAATGTACTGAGTATCTTGAATGCAAATAATAGAAAAAGAAACTTAAGTGAAAGTGGCTTGTAAACATTTTTGTTTAGTTTGTTATTTTTTATGTACCAGTAATCCATAAAATAAATTAGGGGCCAGTGTGGCAACCAATAAAAGTTAAAGATTTCATTTTAAATTATTTCAATTGCTACAAAATATTTAAAAACTTCTCATGAAACTACTGTTGCTGATACTATTGTTAATTTTAAAATCTATTTCTCTACCAAGTAATGTACTGAGTATCTTGAATGCAAATAATAGAAAAAGAAACTTAAGTGAAAGTGGCTTGTAAACATTTTTGTTTAGTTTGTTATTTTTTATGTACCAGTAATCCATAAAATAAATTAGGGGCCAGTGTGGCAACCAATAAAAGTTAAAGATTTCATTTTAAATTATTTCAATTGCTACAAAATATTTAAAAACTTCTCATGAAACTACTGTTGCTGAGGAACATGATAATATAAATATATACAAAATATTTTAATTAAAATGGGAAGAAAAAAAACGACCCTATCCCCGGTATAGATCCTCAAACATTCCTATCGTCAAGCAACCACTCTACCACAAGACCAGACAAGATGTACTAAATCGCACTTTGTTTGGAATTATAAAAACTACTAGCCGTCCGGCCATGTCCGGCGGTCACGTGACAAGTCACCGGACGTGTATCTTGCGCACTACACGTCCGGCGCGCCGGACGTGTAGACACTTCGTTTATTTTAAAACAGAACATCTATTTCTATATTCTATATCAATGATCAACTATACTCTGACTATAGATAGGTACTTTGACACAAAATTAAAATATTGCCCGATTGCCATGAATTATACACCAGTTTAAAGGGCTAGCTGTAAGCTTTACAACAACACCAATTTCATCTTTCTATCTTTTGTAGAAGTGGAGTTATGATTTTTTTGGTGATTTTTTTACAACCCCCTTCTTTATCTTAGTACTTAGTATTTAACTGAAAAAACGTGTGACCCACTTTCCTAATTTGTGCCTTATTTTGCCCAAAACTTTTTGATTTTAAATGATAATGCTACCAAATTTTCAGGAGACATTCTCAATACAATATACTGCACAACAAAATTTTATATAACATCAAGACTTTTATTTTTTATATATTTATTCGAGGGTATGTTAAAAAAAAAGTGAATAGAAAATTTGGGAAAATCATTATTTATACAGGAAAAAACGAAAAAAGTAACATGTTTTTTTAATTTTAACTAATTTTATTATGGCCGGCACTATGTACACCGCGGCGGTGTACCTAGCGAAACTATTAACTTTGGCCTGCGTACACCGCGGCGGTGTACCTAGCTTTTTCATGGTCTGTGGCCTGCGTACACCGCAGCGATTTACAGTAGCCAAACTATGGTCTTTGCGAGCCTTTAACTTTTTGGCCTAACCGGTACTTGTAGATTTAATGTTATACTCGTGTTAAAACTGAAAACTATTAAAAATTCGTTTATTACCTTGGGAAGATATTGAGTAAGGTCCACGCGTATGTGGCAAATATCTTGAAATACAAATATATTTATTAATTGTAAGTTTTATCATATGATTGTGAATCTTAATTTGAAATTATTCTCTCATGCCCACCCCCACCCAGTTGTTAGTTGTTTTGTTTTGGGTTTTTTTTTTTGTTTTTTTTTTGGGGGGGTGCCTTATAAATATAACATTGTATGTGATCCCTCGGGGCATGGTGTAAAAATGAATGGGAAGACAGTGTATCTATTTTGTTAGCACCATGATATAATTACACCACAAATACACTACGGGAAGAGAATCACATACTCATACATTGATCATGAAGTCGTGAAGTTAAAGGATGCAAAAGGTAAGTTTGTTGTGCGGACGTCCTTTGTGGACCACCCCTATCCTGAGCCGTGATTTGTGAATGCCCTCTTTTTGGTTAAGCCTCTGCCCATAACTCACCACCACCCCCCACTCCCCGGCAAGGATCGATTTCTTAAAAAAAAAAAACAACAACAAATACAAAAACTTTGACATAGTGCAAATCCTGTCCCAGGCGCATTGTGCAATGGTTTCTGTGAGAAAACGTCGTGTTTTACCCTGAGAATAGCACATGCCATGCCATTCTGGAAACAAATTACGTCATGAAAAGGGTAAACGCAGACCTATGGCTTTGCTATACAGTTTGCTACCGCTCCGCAAGTTTCTAAAATCGAGGTGTTTTCAAAAGATTTGCTGTGAGACTGAGTGTTGTGAATGAACCTTTGATATCGTATGTACATTTTGCCAATGCATAAGGCATAGTGAAAGCAAGATGGTTCAAGGTTGAAATACGACCATGCACATTAATATTCATATGCATGAATATTATTCATACTGGTATTTTCTTTGGTTGTTCGTAAAAGTAAAATGTAAATATTCAACTATACGAAGAATGTTGAAATACAATAGAATATCAGTCACTTAGTATTCATAATGTTTCTGTTATACATGATCATCATGTATTACATGCGCTTTCAGAAACTTTAAGTTTGTTTTCAAATGTCTAAAGTCTTATTACTAAAGTTACCGGTATTTTCAAAGTCAAAGGCCGGCACAACTTGTTGAAACACTTATATATATAAATAAATATATAAAGTGTATTTAATATAATATTTAAACATATATTTAAATTGTTTCAATTGCTACAAAATATTTTAAAACTAAAATGGGAGGAAAAAAACTCGATCCCCTACTGAGAATTGATCTCAAACTATATTATCGCCAAGCGTCCACTCTACCACTTGACCACACAAGATCCTCTCCAACAAGTATATCTTAAAACCAGGCCAATGGTAAATTTTTTGCCGCGGTGTACCCAGGCCAAAGCCCACGATTTCACTAGGTACACCGCCGCGGTTTACGCAGGCCGAAGCCGATGGTTTCGCTAGGTACACCGCCGCGGTGTACGCATCCACTTTGTTTTATTATACTTGTGTTAAATTTTAAATCAATTATGACATTTTTTAAAAGGTAAGTAGCTCTTTTTTATATATAAAATTGAACGCATGTTATTATAAATAAAAATTACTCAAATAAAATCATCCATGATATGAGACAAATTCATAAAAAATTTTATTTGATATATTAAATAATTGTCTTTGTACTGCTTTTCTATGTCCTAATAAAAATATAATTACCACGATGATGTTGTTTGAGTCTTGTTTATTAATTTGATGTATTGTAATAAAACTTTTATATATAGGATTAACTAAAAATATATATTATCTAGACTAATAGAATAAGTAAAAGTGAAAAATATTGGCTTAATAATTAAACTTTCGCCTAAATAGACTATAGGATTATAATTACTGTTGTTTATAATTATTATTGATATGTAGGCCTAATTTAAGTAATATTATTCCGAATAAGTAGTAATTATTAAGAAAATAACAACTATTATTATTGGTATTACTATCATAAAACTATTAATTATTGTTTAATGATGAAGAACTGACTGAAGAACGATAAACAGCCCGATAAACTGAGTACTGGTGCACACAATTTTTAACGTAAAAAATAAAACTTAAAATCAAGCCTTGGTCACTACATAAACCTTTTCAAGTTTGGTTATAATTATAATATTTTCTTAATTTTTTTTTGTGGTAAAATTATTTATTTTAAACTTCTTATAATATTCAGATGTTTAAAGTTTAAGGATTTAAAAATAACAAATCACTCCATAATTGACAGTGAAATTGATAGTCATTTCCGGCTTCTCGATAAAAAAAAATAATAATAATTTTGGGACATTTTCGTACCCCCACTCCATTGGGAGATGCATAACTTTTCAGGGGCATAGTCATGATAATAACTCAAAAAAGGAAAAAACTCATACGATGAATGTAGTTCGCACTACCTTATTTGCCTAAAATTACTAACAAAAAAATTTTTGGGTGATTTATATACCTACCGAGTCATTATAATAATACTGTCCGTGATACACAAAATATTGTAGCATAAATCAAAATATCACCGGAGCACAAAAACTGATACGTCAGTGATGAGAAAAGCAATTTTTTAATAAACAAATGTGACGTAGTATGCAATTTTCCAATGATACCCTGTAGCCGTACGCCATACTGTAGAGCACATTTTTTCGACATTTTAGGACATGCGCAGAACGGTGCATGGACAAGTATTGTTATTCCTACTATAGACTATTTTACTCTAGTTCAATACTGCTGACAGCAGTGATTAAATACTGATGAATACATATACATACATCTAGCACGCGTTTTTCATAAATACATTACGGCCCGCCTTACATTTTGAGTTGTGCAGGCCTGTCATAGAAGATAGGATAGGGCTGGGGGGACTACCTGACTATATAAGTAGTATTACTATTACTAATTACAAACAAAGGCCTAGCCTACCTATTTAAAATTTACAAACTAAATTATTATCAGGGCCTTAGCCTTAGCCTATGCCTTTACCCTAGTCCTAGCAATAGGCCTTAAACTTAAACTTAAACCTTAGCACTAGGCCTTGTCGTCTTGTGATTCACTCACTGAGTAATGAATAATCGAGGATGGGTATACCTTGATGATGACCAAAACATAATCATAAATAACTACGATTTGTCATTGGAATTTCTGCCATGTGCTATAGCAGTGGTTCTCAACCTTTCTAGTGCCGCGACCCCTTAATACTGTTTCTCGTGTCGTGGCGACCACCAAGCCACACAGTTATTTTCGTTGCTACTTCATAGCTGTAAGGATATATGTTTTCAGATGGTCTTAGGCGACCCCTGGAAAAGGGTCCCGCGACCCCCAAAGGGGTCGCGACCCACAGGGTAAGGAACCGCTGTGCTATAGGGATATAAAATTTAAAAAACATCAGGTAGATCAACATTATGAGGGTCTAAAGTGTATTTTATCTTTTCTAATTACTGGTGACTGTGAAAAAACGTAAACTACAATGTACGGCCACGTAACAAGAAAACAAGGGCTTGCCAAAGAAATATTGCAGGGCACCACAAGAGGAGGGAGAAGAAGAGGAAGACAAAGAAAAAGATGGGAGGATAACATCAAAGAGTGAACAGGACTAACACTGGGCGATGTTGTGCGTAGTGCAGATGACAGAGACCAATGGAGGAGGATAGTTCACATGTCATCTGTGGCGCCCCAACGTACCAAGGACTAAGGGACATGATGATGATGAATTATATTTTATAGGCATAAAAAACAAAGTTAATTTTTTGTAGGCCTCCAGATGAGATCTACTCTATCCACATATTGTAAATCATTTAAGTTAATCGAATAAAAGTTTAAGACAGATCTGGTTCCTAATTTGAAATTTATATCTTAACCTAATAACTTAATTCACAAAAAATGATCACATAGTGATAAGTAGAGACCGACTGAAAGTGATTTTCTGATTTCGGCCGAAGCCAAATAGGCCGAAAATTTAAAATGACTTTCCGCCAAAACCGAAAATAGGCCGAAATTTTAAAAATGACTTTCGGCAGAAACCGAAAAAAGGCAGAAAGTTAAAAATGATTTTCGGCCGAAGCCGAAACCGAAAATGAAATATTTAGATATTTTGAAATTCGTTCCGGCATTCATTCTGCATACATGGAAAATGATAGGGGAAAGTATAAATATTTACATTCTTTCTAGAAAAAAATGAGAAAAATCGTGAATATTAATAAATAAATATCTAATATAACATCTTGTTGTTAAAGATAGTTTAGTTTGTTGTTAAAGATGGTTCAGTTTTTTGTTAATGATCACTTTATTTGTTCTTAAAGATCAGTTAGTGTTCATAAAGATCGCTTAGTTTGTTGTTAAAAATATTTTATTTTGTTAGTTTTTGTTTAAAGATCTTTTAGTTTGTTATTAAAGATCATTTATTTTGTTCAAAAAAGATAGCTAAGTTTTTTTCATAAAGATCGCTAAGTTTGTGTTATTAAAAGATCATTCAGTTTGTTCATAAAGATCACTTAGTTTGTTCTTAAAGATCATTGATTTTGTTCTTAAATATCGCTTAGTTGTTCTTAAAGATCATTCAGTTTGTTCTTAAAAATCATTTAGTTTGTTTTATAGATCTTTTAGTTTGTTATTAAAAATCGTTGAGTTTGTTCTTAAAGATCGCTTATTTTGTTGTTAAAGATAGCTTAGTTTTTTCATAATGATCGCTTAGTTTGTTCTTATAGATAATTGATTTTGTTCCTTAAGATCGATTAGTTTGTTCTTAACGATCTTTTAGTTTGTTCCTAAAGAACATTTAGTTTTCTGTTAAAGAATGCTTAGTTTATTCTTACAAATTATTTAGTTTACTATTAGAGATCATTTGTTTTGTTCTTAAAGATCATTTAGTTCGTTCTTAAAAATCGCTTAGTTTGTTCTTTAAGATCATTTAGTTTTTTATTAAAGATCGCTTAGATTGTTCTTAAATTTTGCTTAGTTTGTTGTTAAATATTGTTTAGTTTGTTCTCAAAGATTGCTTAATTTGTTCATAAAGATCGCTTTATTTGTTTTTAAAGATCACTTTATTTGTTTTTAAAGATTGTTAAGTTTTTTCTTAAAGATGGCTTAATTTGTTCTTAAAGATCGTTTAGTTTGTTCTTAAATGTCGCTTAGTTTGTTGTTAAATATTGCTTTTGCTGAGTATTAGATGACCAAAAACCACAGTCACTTTCGACTGGATGGCCAAAAGTCTAAGTCTATTTCGGCCGAAACCGGAAAAAACCTGAAAGTTAACTTTTCTCTTTCGGCCAAAACCGAAAAAAACCTGAAAGTTAACTTTTCTCTCCTGCGGCCGAAACCGAAATTAACGCCAAAACCGAAGCCGAATCCGAAATTCGGTCGGTCTCTAGGGATAAGCTACAACATTTGGAAATCTTCTAATGTTTTGAGTTATGAGTCTAGAATCATTAATTGTTACAAAAACTAATGGAAAACTAGAAAGATAAATAGCAAAAGGGCAGTAGTTTTTCGCTTTGTATCATATTAGACACTGAAAGCTATTACATGTAGAATGGAATGAAAAATCACAACAGTGTTCATGAGACTTTCACTTGTTTTTTTTATTTATTGGTTTTATATACATTTTTATTGTGATCTATTTGCTTTGCAGATAAGCACTGAATCTAACACACAATGGGTCAAGCTGGATCCAAGCAAGAGATGTTTTGGGAGGCCTGTGGTTTTGGTCGAGCCCATTTAGTTCAAAAATTCATTGAACATGGCATAGATGTTAACTGGGTGTCATCTATTGTAAGTAATTCATCGAAGGTTCCTTTTTAAAATTTTTTTTTAGCTATTTTTAATTGTTAAATTCTTGCTGCCAAAATGCTTTGTTTGGTTAGATTATTACTTGTCTATAGAAGTTATTGAGAGTATTTATTAGAGACTGTATTTTGAAATGAATGAATTTACCAGACCCTCTTTACTTTTACAATTTTGGTGTACAATGTATGATTTGAGATTTCTTTTATGATTGTATGCCAAGACCAGTCACAACTACAATTTTAAGAGACTGGGTTGAAAATATATACATTCCGATAGTTTTTCAGATACAAAAATAAATAATTTTTATTCAGCCCCTTTCGACATCCAGCAATGAATGGCTCAAGAAATATGATTGGTTGGGGACCATCTATAAGTATTTTATGTTTAAGTAAGTCTATATAAATAACACAGCCACTTTTTGTAATGATGGTGATGACGGTCATATTGCTGCTTTGTGTTTTCATAATGAACAGACTAGACACGGCAATAGTAATTGTTGCGGAGCTGCCCAAGTGACAATTTTGTTAAATCCTCGCTTTTGTTAGCTTGGATGCTTTATGAAGTAATTTCAGACATAATTATCTTTGTTTGGCTGAACTGGGGCGAGTGCATAAACAAAGAAACTTGTTTTTAAAAAAAAGAAATGCATTTTCAATTTCCACATGTGAGATCAGAGAGGGCCTTTAATATCTGTTTTTAGAATACATTAAACAGCTGTAAGATTTTTAACATACCTCTTCTGTTTCAACACTCGAGTCCTCTTTCTTTCCCCCATTTACAGCTTGTGGTAGTTACCAAACTATAATATTTTAACGGAAACAGGTATAATGGATATAAATTCTATTTTATTTAAAAACATCTTTTTCCTTAAAAATAAATCTCAAGTTACTTGGTAGATTTTGCAAATGATGTCCTCATTTGTAAATTAATTCTTATTACAATAACATTTATGATGAACCACTTTTAATTTCACCAGTAACTTTATTTTTATCTGTGATAATGTGATCTGCATCTTCACTCAAATTTTAATTGGTATATATAGCAGATACATGCCAGCAATACAAAGTGACAAAAGACTGGAAAATAAACGTCAGTCATCTACTTTGGGCTATTACCATCTTTGATGTCAGCTTAACTTTAGTTATCGTATACATTATATATGTTTTATGTTTATTTATTTACTATTAAGATACTGTATTTTACGATTTTGAGACGATATTGTATGACTTAAGGAGTTTGAGGGTAACCAGGTCTGCTTTACGAATCTAATATTTTTTCTTTTAAAAATATACAATTTTACTCTATTATTATTTTTAAAATTATATTTCTAGCATATCATTTAAAATATATTTTACAATTCAAACACAATTTTATTAGTTCAATAAGTTTTCTTTATAAAACTTTGATCTCAAAACATCATTCTTTTAAGTATTGTTGCCAAATATTTTTTTAATATTATTGTTTCCTTTATCTCAGCATGGCTGTAGTCCTATTCATGTTGCATCTCAAGGAAAAGCTGATGTTGTCCAACTTCTCATTGATGCAGGCTGTGATCTCACTGTTGTGGATTCAGTAAGAATGTCTTTTTTTCATAAATACTTTATAAAATCAATTATTCCCCACTTTCAGCTATAGTTTTTCACAGAAAATTTATTTAAGAAAACCATATCTATTGACAGAGAGGAAACACTGCTGTTCATCATGCTGCCATGCAAGGTCATGCTGACATTATCCAGATGTTGGCAGATTCAGGTGCTGATATAAATGCTCAGGATAAGGTAAATTAGTACAATTTTTTTAAATTAAAAAAAAGTTTTAAAAAATTCACAAATTCACATGTGTTTGACTTCAGATGTCCTTAATATTATCTTAAGATTTTACTTCTTTTTAAAATATTTTTGTTTGAGTGAATGAATGCTTGCAGTAAGTTTGGGCCAATTATATCTTCAGAACTTAAATAATGAACAATTAAAATATTCTGTAGGCAGCTGTGCTCCAGTTTGAATAATCTTATTGGAAACATTCTATTCCTCCTTTATCTAACTTTCAGAATGGGTGGACACCTTTGCATTGTGCTGCCTATTACGCCCATCTACGAGCAGTGGAGATTTTAGTAAGAAACCATTGTGACACAAGCATTCTTAACAAGGTATGTACACATTTATCACTTTTTTGTTTACTTAATCTTTAAAAAAAAATTTTTTTTAATGTCAAAGCTTCCTAAATATTTTGACTTAAGGATGGGGGATGTTAATATTGTTGAAAAATAATTTTTTAAAAAATCCTTTCATTTGTTTAATATGATGCTTAAAAAACAGCATTTAAAATGGTTTATCCATCTTCCCCAGGATGGCAGGTCAGCCCTTATAGAGACAGCTAGATCCAAAAATTATCAAGATGAAAAGATCCTTGGTGAAATTGCACGTCATTTGATTAAAGCTGGATGTGATGTTAACCTAAAATGTACAGATCTTGGAGAGGTAATCATGGATTCTTCATGATAAATAGAATTTTATATTGAATGGATTCACAGAAGTAAGGAAATAAAAGAAAAAGGTTATTTTTATTTCTTCAACAATGAAAGAAAACTTTTGCTCTAGTCTTATTATTGGAAGTATGTATCAATTTCAGTATTTCTGCTTTGTCATTTAATGTATACAAATTATTATTATTGTTATTAGTGGTCTTATATAGCATGGTACCCCAGCTCGCCACGCTGTACATAAAAATATTAGCAAACATAATAATGACATTAAAAAAAACATACATTTATTTAATTAAAAAACAGCTATATGACAACAAAACAAAAACAAATGTATATTCACATCACCCACCCCTTTACATGTCAAGCCATGTACAGCAACTAGCAGCATTGTTTATCGGCAATTGGGGGGAATCAGTCGGGACAGTAGAGTTTAAAGAGATGTGTTTTGAGTGCAGTTTTGAAGGTCTTTATGGTCAGTATATTGCGGATGTGTTGTGAGAGATTATTCCATTGTCTGGGGGTGCAGAGAGAGAACGATCATTCAGCGTATGTTTTAGTGTGTATTCTGTGAATAGAAAGAATACTCGTGTCTGTGGAAGAACGAAGCTTTCGAAGGGGTAATATACAGTAAGAAGTTCAGTAACATAGTAAGCGCAGGAACCAGCGAAAAAGTTGTCACAGAGAATAGACAGCTTGTAATCAATGTGTGCCTGTATGGGGAGCCAATGAAGTGAGTGAAGTAGTGGAGTGATGTGATCTTTATTTTTTTGTTAAAATAGCAAAAAATATATTTTGACATTTGTAAATGATTCATGTTAGATTCTGTTAAAAAAGACATTAAAAAAAATCCAATTCACAGGCCAATTTTACTGGTCTGATGTTTGCGGCATATCACAATCATCTTGATGTGGCTTCTGCATTTATTGATGGTGGCTGCAATCTCAACAGTGCCAGTTGTTATGTGAGTTTAAAAAAAAATTGTTTCCCTTTTATCACGTTTCGATTTTTATTGATTATATTAATTGAAATTACAATACTGTGATCGTAAGCAAAAAAAAATAATTGAGTGTCTCCTCTTTTGAAATTCCTCCTCATAGAAACAGTAAGCATGTACATACTTCGTCAATTTTGTGTGCAAATTGAAATGATTTAGACCAGCGTTTCCCAAACTGTTAAGTTTTACGGACCAGTGAACAAGTTTCGAAACTGCACCAGGGACCGGTGCCAGATTTATTAATTACATTTTCTTTCTATTTAAACATCAATATTCATGCTCTCTGGATCGGTAATGTAAGGCTTGCGGACTGGTGCCGGTCCATGGACCACCGTTTGGGGAATGCTGATTTAGACCATTCACTTTCAGGGGTTTATCTACTTGGCCATTGCTGTAAATTAGAAAGAAAAGTTTGGTTATTCCCACAAAATTAACTTACATAAAAAATTTTAGTGGCTGTTTGTGACTGTTCAAAATTTACTACGTTTTCTATTGATAAATTTATAGCCAATTCTGAATCTCCATGTTGTTTTTTAAAATTCCTGAAACAGACAAAGTGGACAGCCTTACATTGGGCTGCAGATTGTGACAATGCTGAGATGGTTTACCTGCTGTTGGATGCTGGAGCTGACCCTACACAAACTGGAATGGTAGGTGCAAATATTTGTTTAAAACATAACATCTTGTGATAAACTTAAATTTATGTGTTGCATCCAGAGGGTTTATGGGAAAAACTTGTCATAGAAAAAATGTTTTTGAAAAATCGCATCGTAACACTTTTTTTATCGCCTGGAAAACTCATAGGAGAAAATGCATCTTTGTTAATTCTTGAAAGGTAAATGAGAGACCCCCTGTATAAGAATAGTATAACTGCTTCAGGGAATTAACTTATGAAAATGATAAATGGGTAATCATTGTTAGTTTTGTTTAAAGCTTTAGGAAAGATGGAATGCATTATTTACCTTCAATACTTAAAATAGTCCCAAAAAGGCATTTCAAATGTTTAAAATCTCTACATATAATGTTCTCATGATCTGAAATGTAAAAATGAATAACTCTTTTTATTTACAGAACTTTACCATCTGATATTCATTAACTGTAAATTTAATTTTAATACATTTTTTGCCCAATATCAATTTTTGTAACAGAAATTTTCTGTGACGAAGTGTTCCAAAACACATGTAAAATATTGTGATATTTGCAATTTCAACTTCAAAATGTGTGAAAGAATTTTTATTCCTGAGAATTTTTATATTTTTAAGTTACTTGCTTCCCTAACCACCATTAAATGCAATGTAAATTATATTTATTTCTTGTTAAATCCAGAGAGGAGAGCTTGCTTCAGACAGGGCAAAAGATGTGGAGACCAAAGAAATCCTAGATAAAGCTATTTTGACTTTCCGTGAAGGAGATAAAGGGGAGACAGCTTCACTTTCATCGTCACATTCAATCAATGCACAAGCGTCTCTTGACACAGCTCGAGCCCTGGAGGTCAGCAGTGATTAATTTATGTTCATAAACAGAATTACTGTAAATAAAATTAAGGAATAATATGAGTGTGAACAGAAATACAAATTCTTTCAAAGTTATTACATTTTGTGAGCCCTGGAAGTCAGCTACGGGTGATTAATGAACTTAGAAGGTAATTTATTTGACATTTTGTGAGTTTCACTCCTATTTTGATGACATCCTTTACTGAAAAGTGGGAGACAAACCATTAGATCTGCCGGTAATGTGGTAGGCTTAAAGTTAACTTAAGGCCTAAAAAATTTTTACACCAAATTCATGTATTAATCATATTCTCTGTGGGTCATTCAAAGAAGTTTACTTATTTGTAAGTACTGATGCTATAAAACAACAGACATCTCACCAGTCCCTCAGCAAGCCCAGCACCACCCAGAAGTAGGAATACATTCACAGCAACAGTCATTTAAGGATGTCATTTACAAAGTCATTTATTTTCCTCAAACCATGTCAATCACAGAACTGGGAAAGCTTCATTTAAAAGACAAACTCTAATAACATTCTTTTAAAACTTTCAGAGTCTGTCCACCCACGCTAAGAACAGAGACATCCTGTCAGCCCCCATGCCAACCATGCCGGCTTTAGGCATCGCCTCAAGATCTGATCCAAAGCTGAGGTACACCCGCAGGAACATCAATGAAGTGGCCGCTAAAAGTGTGAACTCAAATTTCCCATGGAAGAGTTACTCAAAGCAGGGTTCACCCAGTCCTGACAAGGATGGCCTCACTGGAATGGTGGACGAGGAGAGGAGAAGAATGTTTCCCTCTCAGGATGACAGGACCAATGCATTCATGGATTCACTTGCACAGAGGATAAACTACATGACTAACAAAATAGCATCCATGAGCCAATTTGACAGCCATCAACAGTCCAATGGCGGCCATGCTAGTCTCAAAGGATCTGACGGAACTCTGACGGAAAAATCCACAAACGGCTTTGATAGCTCTGAGGATTCAGGGTTATCGACAAGAGAGGGAAGTCGCATCACTTCTGAGTTGGCCACTCCAGAGGATGGAGTGAATAATTCCCTGGCTTTGAATCTCAAGCATTCTGCTTCTAGAAGTGAGGATGAGAAAAGTTCCAGTCCAAGATCTCTGAAGTCTACTTCTGGAGCGTCTTCAAAAGTGTCGAGCCCGATGAAGAACGATGACATGCTGGATGCCGAGGCTGATGCGTGTATAATTGAGGAGAGTCATCGCGGATTTTCCATTCTCCGTGCATTGCAGGAGAGGCACAGGCGTAGCATGTGTTTGGATGAGACAGCTATGGCTGCGCAGGCTGTGAAAGATTCACTCTCAAAGCCAGAGGTGACCTCCCATGTGTAATTATGTACCTGCTTAGCTATATACTCTGAGAAGTTGACTTTCTTTTGAACATTTAAACTTTCTAGCACATTATCTTAGCTTGGGATTTTTTATTTTTCCTTGGTAATATTTAAAAAAAAAAAATCTTTGTACATTTAGAAATTCAATACCATATTTATCCTGGTATTTAATCACATAGATTAGATTTTTAAGTGTAGTAGATGAACAGAAAGGAGAATTAATCACGGAAAATAGTAAAGTATTGGAGAGGTGGGCTGAATATTTTGAGGACATACTGAATGCAGACAATAGACAAGAAGAAGATTATCAACTCCCAAAGGGAGGACCAGACCCGTTTATACAATGCCCAACACTAGAAGAAACCAAAGAGGTAATTAATTACATGAAAAATCACAAAGCCCCCGGACAAGACCTTATCACAGCAGAACTGATTAAATATGGAGGAAAAGAACTACACAATCAGATACATAAACTTATAAGTAAAATTTGGCAAGAGGAGAAAATCCCGACAGAATGGGAAACAGCATTAATAACCCCAATACACAAGAAAGGCTCCAAACTTCAGTGCACAAACTACAGAGGAATCTCCCTATTAAATGTTACATACAAAATACTGACGAAACTTATTGCCAAAAGACTACAACCTTACACTGAAGAAATACTAGGTGATTACCA